TGAAGAACAGAAAGATTAAAGAAACTTTAAAGCAAACTTAAAATGCTTTAAAAAATTACTATTTTTTTTACCTTCCTCTAAGAATGTTGTCAAAGAAAAAGCAATGGCTGAACATTTGGTTTCCACTCTCTGCTACTAAACTGCAACTATTCACACTAAAACTCACTTAAAATACATTGCAAAATTTAGCAACAGCAAAAATAAACGTCATTTATATTAGTTCACTTTTTTCTATTGAAAAGAGCTTAGAGTGGCATTTCATCCTTAACATAACGCAGAACACAAATTCATATGCATAAGTATGTTTTACATTAATCCCCATGATTTTTATTTTTTTTTCTCTTGAGACAGTCTCGCTCTGTCACCCAGGGTTGTGTGAAGTGGCACCATCATGGCTCACTGCAGCTTCAACCTCCTGGACTCAAGCAATCTCCTGTCTCCATCTCCCAAGAAGCTGGGGCTACAGAATCATGCTGCTATGCCTGGCTTCTTAAAAAAATATTTTTTTGAGATGGGTTCTTACTATGCTGCCCAGGCTGGTCTCAAACCCCTGTCCTCAAGCAATCATCCCACCTCAGCCTCCCAAAGTGCTGGGATTAAAGGCATGAGCTACCAAGCCCAGCCACCACATTCCAATTACATCTTCATAAAAATCATGTGCTAAGTTGTTCTGGCATTGATACGTATTCTATATCTGAGGAAATGCAAATATAAAGCACAGGTTACTTAGTGGGCAAACAGAACTACACATCCAGATGTCCTGACTCCTATTCCACAGAAATGTATTCAGAATATACACATACAGATCTTTATTTACCATTGTTAAGTTTTTAACCTTAATACTTACTTGTAGCATAAATTCCATACTGATCCTATTTTCAATCAATCTCATCACAAGGTGAGCTTTACACTGAAACATGGTATAGTATTCCCAGGACAGTGTATGTGGATGCTTTATTGAAAAGTGTAGATGGGAAGCCGGACTAAAAAAATAAGCATATTTACCTAATAGAGCAAATTTGACTATTAAATAAACAATAAATTTCATGACCACATCAATAAAATACATTAAAAACATCATGAGACTATATAAACAATTTCCTTAGTACTAAGAAACATCTAAAAATAAACTTAACTAGAAGAAAATTATGAAATTTTACTTAAGGACATAAAGGAAAATCTGAATAAATGGAAACAAATACCAAGCTCCTAGATGAGAAGATACAATACTGTAAACACTTCCATTCTCCCCAAATCCATCAATACAATCAATGCAATTCCAATCAATATCCCAACATTGAAGCATGCACAAAAATACAGTAAAGATGGATTATATATGTAAAACAAAAACAACTCCAAAAGTACTAAAAGAAATGAAAGAAAAAATTTCTTTTTATAATTTTGGGATGGGAAAAATATAAAATCTGGAAGACATAAAGATCAGAATGACTACGTAAAAATTTAAAAAATGTGACATAATGAAAAGGATCATAAGTAAATTTGAAGATACAGTCTAGAAAATATTTATGACGTACATGAACATTTAAGTTGTTTACAAATTCACTAAACCAAATAATGCAATGGTGAATATCTTTTTACCAATGTGCAAATATTTCTGTATGATAAATGCCTAGAAGAATTTCTTTCTCTTTTTTTTTTTTCTTTTTCACAGCAGTCG